TCATCAAATGCACCTTGTAAGATACCCTTGTTAATCAGCTGATCCTTGATGTACTGCGCAGTCAGGAACATTCCCTTTTAAAAAGTGCAACGTTTGGAGTTCAGATAATATCAATGATAATTAACAAATTCCTATAATTATCATCAAACCTTGTGTGCCATGCTTCCATCCTCCAAGCCTTCAACGTGTATGTCAATTCTCTCTCCATGTCCTGTCATGTCTGTCAAAGTATCCTTCAGAGAAAGAAAATGGTTGTGAAAATGATAGACAAGATAGTCTTATAGTGTTTAATACACAGGTTCCGAATCTGAAGGCCTATCCTCAATTCTATACCACGCATATCAACTTTTGTGTCCTTTAGTCAAGACTTTGATCCATTAGTGCTTATTTTTCTTTGAAAGAATATTTTAATATTAAAAGCCAGAGGTTTTGTCTTGTACATTGCAAATCACTATTGTGCGAATGTTAGAATTTTATCTTCTTGTGTTCAAATTATTTTCAACACTTGAAATAAAATCCATATCTCTGCACGCCCAAGTACTATCCTCTATCCATTTTTTTTACCTACCCTCATTGATAGTGTACCACGGATTGATATCACTACAGCCTTGTGTTGGTCATCCAGAGCAACGTAGAAAGGGATTTCATACAACTACAACACATAACAACGAAAAAATGCTCAATAGATGATTTTTTTATTTCAATAGGAAATGTGCAGCATTTTATAAAATGGTGCATGATGGGAGTTGTAGTCTCACACATTATATTAAAAAACTCTGTAAAAGCCATTTTTATATTTTCTTTGGAGAAATACCACAACTACTTTTATTTCTGCAGAGAAAAGCCCAAAAAGGCTTATGGGAACTGCTTTAGCAGACATGAAAAAGTGTGAGAACGACAACTACTTTGTTCCATTACATGTAAATGGCGTTGTTACACATTGCTGTTGAAGGAGGAAGAACCTGGGTAGCAAGTGTGGTGTGATGAAGTGAAATCCAAAGAATGGYATTGAAAATACGATGAATAACAGAACATGACAACTTACTTTATTGTGAAATGAAATATAAAACAAATCTTCTTCAGGTAGGTTGGATTGCAAGTGAACAGCTGCAGTATTGCACATGCAACAGTTGTCACCGGTAACATGACTATCAGGCGCACAACATGAACAACATCTATGAATACAAATAAGAGATTTTAAAACAATAACACTAAGCATCCTTCTGGGCTCCCTGTGGTGGAATAAAAGTTGGTGGGGAGGGGACTGTGAGAAAAGTGAAGAGGAGGAGTTGGAAACCATTCTTTTCTTATTTTAGGCCCATACGAGGTTAGGTTGCCTGAGGAGAAGACAAAAGTGAGACCAATGTCCAATACTAGTAATACAATAATATTGTAAACATGTGTTTGTTCTGTAAAGCATTTGGTTAATTTATCAATTAATTATAAATTATAAATGTAGTTACCTTATTTTACCACAAAAGTGAAAAGTTCCACAGCAAGGATTCATAAAAACATACAAAGGCCAGCCATAAGATCCCAAKGAATATTTCATAAAATAAGCAGCATCTTTGATAAGAGTTGTCTGGGCCTGAAAATATGTTAGAACATGTCAAACAGGTATTAAAAGAAACACCAAACTCATATCTCACATTATAATAATAATTATTATTATTATCATCATCATCATCATTTTGTGTGATACATGCGATTTTTAAATCTCTTAATTAAAATCTCTTGTGTTAATCTGYTTTATTATGACATTATTTATCACAGGAATTAGCTCACACAGAGCTGCAAGGTGTACTTACAGGATCTGATAAATCAACAGGTTGTCCTTCTAGTGGTGCCTAAAGATACACAACATTATTAAACAAAMAGAATACTAAGGTTAAACAACAAAAACACTTAATACAATATAGAAAAACAATGATTATGATACATATGACCTGTTCAAAAGAGCTATAGCAAATGTCAACTTACCTTGCCACTTTCTAGCAGTTTCCTAGCTTCTTCATCCTGTTGTTGCTGCAGCAGAATGAGTCCAACAGCAACATCAGAAGGCACAGCATCAACACCATTGAGCTCAGATGCAAACACTTTAGCAATATCAGAGATAGCATCCATGTAGTCTTCGTCACGACCAACAAAACAACAGCATAGCCATTTACAACGACGCTCCCATAACTACAAATCACACACAGATTATTTATTATAATTATATAAAAGTATTTTTTAGTAAATAAATGTGATTCAAACCTTTGTTGTTTTGTGCATGTGTGCTTCAGTGCAGTCATCATGAAGACCAGCTTGTCCTGATCCCAATGGATCAAAGAATACCAGAACAACGATGATGGCTGACAGTAAAATACACCACTGAAAAACCACAGTAACTTGCACGGGTATTGTGATGGCCAATTCACAGCCTTTACTGTCATAAAATGCCCAGTAAATCCCAAGTCCTGATAGACATATTTCAGGGATGTAAAGGAGTATTTGGACATACAGCAGGTATGGTATATGTTGTCTGGGTCTTGTGTTAATAATTGTTCCTCGCATACTCATCCAGATTATTATACTTTCATTTATAATCACAAAGCAGGTGATGACAATGACGCCAATGAAGAAYGCTTCCAARGTGCTGCTTGCGTTACATGACTTCATTTCTTTGTGGTAAACACCAAAWATAATACAGAGGACTACCAACCTTAGTATTACAAGTTAAAAAYATTAACTTTTAGTATCTAAATGGTAATTACATGTACTTTCATATCTATTTTTAATATATTTGCACTTTTATAAATCYTTGGACAATAAACGCCCATTTTCACTAGTCTACTGAAGCATAGAAGAGACAGTAACCTTATGTTCTACTTAATTCAGAGCTTTCATCTCCTTTCTCCGCTCTTTGGCTAGTAAACCAGGACCCTGATTAACTTACCACAGTAGTCGAGCCAACAAACCACCCCCAAAGACAAATACCAAATCATCGCTGCCAATTTGCCAGCGTCGATTAAAAGCAACAAGGGCAGGCATTTTGTGGTGCTTTAGTCTAGAAAGAGCAATCAATTATGACATAAACAAAACGTACAATCATTTGAATATTGGTCGRGMYGRCGGTCAGCTATTAATAMC